GTGATGGCTTGTTATGCCTTTAAATTGCTTTTGATCGCTATTTTGCATAAGACACATCTAAAGAGTGATCATCATCCTAAACGTAATAATATAAACTTCACCAAAACTCCAGGCTTTTTAAACTAGAAGTTTTTACCAGGACAATAATATGGGTATAGAGCAGGGGTGAGCAAAATACGGGTGAGCAGATCCAGCCCACCAGGCAATTTCATCTGGCCAGCAGATTCCCACCAACTAATTGTACCCCACCCAACCCTTCCCATGAAGGTGGAAGCGAGGCACTCACATACACCTTCCCGCCCCACCAGCATAATCCTATTGTGCCTTGCTCTCACCCTTGTGTGCAGAAGGGCCCGGCCCAGCCAACACACATCTTCTGGGCAGGGCTTCTGCTGCCACTGCCGCAACCGCTGAGGGACCTGCTCGGCTACCCCTGTGTCCTGCTTGCTCCAGGCACCAGGTAGGGAAGTGGTGGGGGTGGGGGAGCTACAGCTAAGCAGAGGAGCATGGGGCTGGGAGCAGTGCTGACTCCATGCCCCGGGGGACAGTGGGAGCACACAGTTTGGCTGGGCAGGTGCGAAGGAGGGTGGGGGGATGTGGGGGGATGGGGGGACCCCCCCCACCTCCCCCTGGGTGCACAGCTCCCACCAGCAGCAGCAGACGACGATGATGTTTGGGGCACTCATGCCTGGTGCAGGCACTGCCTCTGGTGGTGCATGGCTCTAGCCTGTGCTGCACATGGCAAGATGGTCCACCTCTATTGCATGGGGATACCCACAGTGCACGTGCAGCTCCCACACTCGTGCGCCAGTGGGGGAAGCCCCGCAAGATGGAGCTGGCTGCCTTTGCTGCTTTCTGCTGCACAGGTCCCGGGACTCCGCCAGAAGTAGAGGGGAGCCCTGGCCCCTGCTTCCCCACGGAGTCCCAGGACCTGCATGGCAGGGAGCTGCAAAGACAGCCAGGTCCATCACACCGGGCTTCTACAGGTGGCATGTGAGTGCAGGAGCTGCAGGGAGCCCCATGCAATAGCCAGACTGGGCTGCTTCTTCGCCC